AAGAAGTGAAACAGAAAGCAGAAGAAAAAGGAAGGACGGGAATGAATCAAGAATTCTTGGCTTTTCAGACTAAGCAATGAACACATCGGATTGGGGTGCTTGGCATCATAGAATAGTACTGGCATCAACTTTACTTAGTGGCCCATCATAGCAAACACTATTTCTGAATTAAACACACATACACATATGAGAGTGAAGAATGTGTTCTTCATGTACCTTTTTAATATTAAATACAAGACTTTAAAGACCATTTGAGTTTGGCACCAGCAGCTTTAGGCTTAGTCCCTGATCCACCTTCTCACCTTTAGGCTGGGAAGCCCCTTTGCAGTAGGGATGCCTTAGTGGAAAAGTCAAATGAGTGTCTGAGGAGGGGCCACTCCCTCACCTTGGTGGTAGGGTGGCTGGGGGTCCAGGACAGAGGGTCCTGCCAACAGCTCTGCCATAGTTTTAGCACCAGGTTTCTTCAGGGTTCACTGGAGAACAGACTCAGCCATTCCACAAGGTCTTGTCCCTTCATCCTCCTCCTCTTTAAAATTTCTTTATTCTGAATGATTAAGAAAGGGAACCCAGGCATCAAAGGTGCACATCTTGAGATCTGTCCATGTGGCTGACAAAATTTTGACTTGGAAGTATTTCACTAAATACCCCACCTTCAGCTAACAAAGACCCTACATTTAGGGGGGATCGTTTGGCTAAAGCTGAGCACCTCAAGACTCAGGCTACCATGACAAGCCCTTGCAGGCTGCTGGTTAACAGCAAGGAGTCTGAGCATATAGGCTCTTCGATGTCAGCCTGTCTCAAAAGGGCCATGTTGTCAGCATCGTTTTCAATGATTTCTTACCTTGATGTTTTGTTTGGGAGGTTTTTTTGGTCTTATTTTTTAATTTAAAATTGAATTACAATTTTTGGGTTGCCTCTGTATTTTTTAGCCCATCATAGCTATGGGGGTTTAAAGAATGCAAAAAGTAGCCAGAATGTAGAGACAGAAATGACTTGTGCTATGATAGCTAATATTAACAAAAAAAGAAATTGTGTCCACTTATTGAGATTTGGCACTCTGTTAACATAACTGGGGAGGGGAGCACTCTGGGAATTTGGAACACTTCAAAATATTTTGCATCGACATTAAAGACAATTCACCTACAGATGGGTTTCTCAGACACGGATTACCCTTGTAGGGCTGGGCAGACTATCTAAATTTCTTAGGTTGTTCCTATACAGTTTCTGACAGACTGGGAAAATCCAGTGAAGTCCAGAACACTTCTGCCTCTCCTCACAGAAAATCACTCCACTAATAACAAGGCAGCTTATGGCCCTGCTATCCCATGAGGGATTCTAGGGATTATAATGATGATTTCGTACACTTTCCAATTCTGTGGGATTTTAGGAAATTTGGATTTTGAATTTAAGATGGTAATGGAGTAACTGGTTCTGGTATGTTTCTTTTTGTTTCTTTCTCTTTGGATATAATTACCCTTTCAAGTTCCTTTATAATTGTAATGAAGGTTGGAAAATGGCTCTGGAATTTATGCCAAATGGAAAACACAGGATTAATCAGACTTGGTGTGCAAGAAATTAAGTTCCCAGCTCTTAGGATGAATACACATTTTCAAATTTAATGGTATCCAAAGGAGAATTTGTTGTGACAAATTTCTTTACTCTGTGGTGTATAAGCCAACAAAGCATGTGGACTGGAATCTGTAAATTAGTTTATTTTGAAGATGACTTGGAAGCCCCTTTCTTCCTTTTGTCAGGTTACCTATCATGAAGCTCATGAATTACTAGAGTAACTTCTTACTTAAATATTTTAATTCATGAGTGCTATAAAAGTCTGATAAGACTAATGTGTACTGCATTTATTGTAAGTATAGTCATTTAGTTTCTTTATTAAAATATTGTTCAATAGGCTCTGTTCTCAATCAACTGGCTATATTTAGATGACTGCCTGACCATTTTGGCAACAATTTTACTTAACAAAATTAATTCCAACTCCAAAAGACTGTCATGGAATCTACATTTATTTATTTAATTATATTTTGGAGAATAAAATAGAACAAAATTTGTTTAGATCTTCTGTACTAGTTAAAAAGGAGGCCCACCTGGAAAAATAGTTAATTAAAGTCAGGGGTCCTGTCAAATACTGTCATAGTACCAGCCAAAGAATTTATTAAAGTTGCATTCTTATTAAAATTCTCATTATTTAAAAATCCCTGTGGCTCCTCCTCTGACTATTCAGAGGCAGCCAGTGGTTCATAAATAAATTACACTGCATGTAGGAAATTAATGTCCTTGATGAATCTGGTTCTGTCTGAAACAAAGTCCAATATTTTCTAGTTCTTGAACATATTTGGCTCCAGATATTTATCTATGATGAACAAAGTACTCAGCTTCTGAACACATCATCTGGGCTTCATCCTGTTCATCTAATGCCCCATCTGATAAGATGGCAGATATTATCAGTGGCAGATATTCTCTAAAGATGGCCACAACAATATCCCCTATCCCACATACTCTTCTACAATATGACCTTGACACACTTCTCATTGAGAGGTGAATGCTATGTCCTCTCTCCTTAAGTTCTGGTGGGCTGTGACTGCAACCACTGAGGATGTAAGGGAAATATGCTATGTGACTTTCAAGGTTGGGTCATGAAAAATGATGCAGCTACCAACTTGCTAGTGGGGACACTTGTACTCAGAGCCCTGAGCTGTCTGTCACATGAGAAATCTGACTACCTGAGGCTGCCATGCTATACAGAAACCCAGGCCACATGGACAGTCCAGGTGTCATACTCCAGTCAGCACTCCCTGTGTTTTAATCATCCCAGCCCAGGTGAGTAACCCCTCCGAGGATCTACCATTGGGTCACCCCTAATCTTCTAGTTTTCTGAGCTGAAGCTCCAGACATTGTGGAGGAGTGACAAGCCCTTCCCGCTGTGCTTTGTCTGAATTCTTGACCCAGGGAATCTGAGCGGAATCAAATGGCTGCTTCAAGAAGCAAAGTTTTGTTACATAGCAATAGAAACTGTAACATCATTCACAATGATCCTTTATTTGTAAGAAAATTTTTCATCAGACCACATATACAAAGTACACCCAAAAGAATTTGGGAGAGGCCCAAGGGAAATAAGTTTTAAACACAGAGCATTTTCCCTTTTCATAGAAAAAACAGATTTAATTATTTATCTGGAACTATGATTAACAACATCCACCACTGACTGGTCACCTATTTTGCTTCCAAAAGGCAATGTGACTCTATATATGATCCCTAATAATCACAGACATGTGGAGAAGTTGAATAACTTGTCCAAAGTCCATGAAAATTAAATGGAAGAGCTGGGATTCTAATTTCCTGAAGGCAGAAGGGTGAGAGGACAATAGTCTGTATAATGTGAGCCCACCTGCCTTTTGAGGAATTTTCCAACAGCTTCCACTAACATCTCATTGATCAGAACCTGCCATATGGATGGCCCTAGTCTCAAGGAAATTTGGGAAATGTGTTTAGGTTGGTCATATTGTTGACACCAAAAATACTAAGGATAAGAAAATGGGAATGGAGGTTGTCAACTTCTAGTTTCTACCTCACTGACAAAAAAGTAGGCATCACACATCAGAAAGGAAACCCCCCAGTTGACAACAAATACCAGTTTGGGGCCTTTTATTAAAGAATTTTATTTGAGGAGCTTGCCAACTGACCAACACATGTGCTCTTTCTGGTTACCTTGAGCCCAGTGACATCCCCCTATCACACTTCTGTACCTTTTGGATGATCCTTCTGGTGTGATTCATGGGGGTCAGGAGAACAACAAGGTCTGCACACACATTCCAGACCCTGTGTAATTTCCTTACTATATTGCCACAAAGGTGGTTATTTTAGTTATCTATTGATGTATCATTTAGTGGCTTAATGTTCTTCAATAGGTGAATGGAGAAGTTAAATTGTGATACGTTCAGACAATTGAATACTAAAGGAAAAGAGCTCTCAAGCCAGTAGCACAAATGCATATTACAAAGTGAAAAAAGCCAACTTGCAAAGGCTACATACTATATGATTCCAATAATATAACATTTTGGACAAAGCAAAACTATGAAGACAGTAAGAAGATTAGTGGGTGCCAGGGGTTAAGTGGGAGAGAGGGATGAATAGGTGGAGCACAGAGGATTCTTAGGGCAGTGAAACTACTTTGTATGATACTATAATGATGGACACATGCCATTATACATTTGTCCAACTCTCTAGAATGTACAACACTAACAGTGAACCCTAATGTAAACTGTAGACTTTGGTTGATAATAATGTGTCAATTTAAGTTCATCAGTCTCAACAAATGTCACTCTGATTGGGGATGTTGATAATGAAGAGAGTTTGCATGAATGGGGACAGGGATAAACAGAAAATTTCCGTACCTTCCTCTCAATTTTGCTTTGAACCTAAAACTTCTCTTTTAAAAATCTATTAAAAAACAATTAGTGACTCAAAACAACCATAAACTCTTATTACCTTGGTCCTTGAGAGTAAAAAATTGGGAGTAGCTTAGCTGGGGTGTTCTTGCTCATGGCCCCTCATCATTGTGTAGTCAAGATGGTGGCAGGGGCTGCATCATCTAAAGGCTTGACTGGGGCCCAAGGCAGCTGCCTAATGACTGCACTGCAGTGCTTAACACATGGACTCCTACTACGGGTTGCCTACCAGACCTTACAATCAGGGCAGTAAGTCATCCAGGAGGGTGCAAGTAGGAAGCTGTAATACTTCCATAACCTAGCCTTGGAAGACTCAAACTGTCATTTCCACAATATCCTGTTAGCTACCCAGATCAGCCCTATTCACTGTGAGGGGACAACAAAGGGGCATAAATACCAAGAGGCAGGAGTCACTGAGGGCCATCTTAGGAGCTGGCTACCACAGTGGCTTTCTGATGCATAAACCAATACATTACACTAACCCCCTTTAAACAAAGTGTCATATTGGAAAGTAAAGTGAAATTCAAGAATAATACTTACAAAATCAGGCTGGGCCATTTGTACTTCCAAGGGAGTTAGAATGGCAGGTTTGGCAATATGCAGATAATGGTAAGACCCAGGAAGAATGCCTCCTAGAGGAAATGGCAAATTTCCCACATTTTAATTTAGTTGTTAATAAGGGGGGGTAACATGTTAATAAGGTTGGTGAGCTTATATCTGTAGGACAAGACAAATGGAGATGCCTATAATGGTGTATGCTACTCAAACTTTCCCACTAAAGCACTACTATTAGCAAGGAACTCCCTGGGATGGTTGGGCTTTACTTAACAAAATCAATATGAATGTGCCATTACACCCTGTAATGTTGCTAACAGTGCTCCGAGATGTGCCAAGCTGATCCTGTGTATCCTGTAATTTCTCATAACTCTTGTTACTCTGCCTTATACCTGTCAAAGTCACAACCAGATCTTTAGAATCTTTAACTGTTGCAATGGTTTCTCCATCCCTCATCACCCCTCTCATATTTAAACAAAATATTTAAAAAGTGAATTTTATAAAGAAAATCAATAAATTTCTTGTCCACTGTTTTAGGAAACTATCATCACATTCTTTTTTATTGTTGATGCTATTACAGATGTTCCCCATTCTATCTCCACCCCTCTTTGCCCACCTCCACACAGCCCCCACCCCTTCTCTCCTGGCCTTCACCACACTATTGTCTATGTCCATAGGCTACACATATGTGTTCTTTGGCTAATCTCACTTTCTTTTATCTAGCACCTCACTGTCAGTCCTCTCCCCTCTGAGACCTGTTAGTCTGTTCCATGTATCCATGCCTCTGATTCTATTTGGTTCATCAGTTTACTTTGTTCATCAGATTCCACATATAAGTGAAATCATATGCTATTTCTTTCTCTGACTGGCTTATTTCACTTACCATTATAATATCCAGGTCCATCCATGTTGTTTCAAAGGGTAAGAATTCCTTATTTCTTTATGGCCACATAGTATTCCATGTATAAATGTGCAACAGTTTTTTTATCCACTAATCCACTGATGGGCATTTGGGCTGTTTTCAGATCTTGGCTATTGTAAATAACACTGCTATGAACACAGGGATGCATATATTCTTTCTGATTGCTATTTCAGGATTCTTAGGGTATATTCCTAGTGGGATTGCTGGGTTAAAAGGCAGTTCTGTTTCGAAATTTTCAAGGTAACTCCATACTGTTTTCAAATTCTTAATATTTCTAGTTTGCCCCAGAAGTATGAGCCTCACCTAACTCTGGTCTCTGGCACCCACCCCATCCCTTCCTTTTTCCCATAGCCTTCACCTTTCTGAAGGTCTCATTGAGAATGAGAAGCAGAGCAGGAGTCCTTGAAGCCATGTAGATAGGTAGAAAAAAATGAGGTCTGGGATGTAGGGCTTTGTCTGTTTAGTTTGATGTTCTAGTTACTGTCTTAGGGTCTGTGGACACCTTAGGGGGTCTATGGATGGCTTTGGGTAGTGGACCTTCAACCTTTTGGAAATGAACAAAGTTTTGTAAATATATGCATTTTTATGGTAGAAGGTCTACCACATTCAAAGACAGTATTTTCAAAGATATCTCTCAACTTCTAAACATAAAGAAATCCCATGTTACTTATACAATGATCTTCTCAGAGATCAACAAGGCTTAGCAGATGAATGTGGACTGTTGACCGCTGCAAATGGTTTGGCTTATCCATTCAGATAGCAGGCTAAAGCCTGGGGTGCTTGGAAGGCTCTGTTTATCTCTGAGTGAGAATGAAAGTTTAGTGAGGTGTCAAGGCATCATACCATTGTGACCAGTTGTGAGTAACCTCTGGGCAAGTTACTGATCATACTCCAGTCTTTTAACTTATATGTAAAATGGGACCACAGTTATTATATAGTCCATAATAAATGCTCAAAAGCAAAAGACCATATTAATAATGATGTCAGGTCCATAATAAATACTTAAAAATGAGAGAGCCCTCATCTGTCTCTGCATACCCACTAAGAGACAGAGGAGACTCCTCACCAAGCCTAAGAGAAGGATGGAGGGCTTCCCTGAGCACTGATCCAAATCCAACTGGTGGCTTCATCAGGGGGAAGAAGGTGGCCTACTACACACCTTGGATCTTTGCTCCCTTGTACATGGGGATGAGTTGGTCAAGATCAGCTGGTGGTTCTGTCACAGGTTCAAGGGTTGGATCAAAGAGATTGAGCATAGCTGCTGCCAGCTGGAAGCCAACTTCTTTGGAACTGAAGGTGCTGTGAGTCCACTCATTTGAATAATATCTATTGGAGAATTTGGTGAGGGAGCCAGCAGCTCTGATGGCTATGTCGTTGGTGTGGAAGTTTGTATCAATCACAAGTCGGCCATCATAGACAAGGCATGCATCATTCAGTGCTTTAAACGTTTCATAATCTACATTCTTCTCACAGAAACTGAAGAATATCTATGAAGTAAACAATTATATTGTTACTTAGTTATCACTCTTTTACTTTCCCAAGAGTGTGAACAGTCAACAGGGGATTTTATTATTTGTGGAACACACAAAAAATCTAAGTCTACTAAATGTTTGTCATATTAGTGTGTATGTGAAAGAGAGAGAGAGAGAGAGAGAGAGAGAGAGAGAGAGAGAGAGAGAGAGAGATGGACAGACAGACACTCCTGTTTGGCATGAAGAACAAATTAAGATCACCCAATGTCACTCTTATTTCCACTTTTTAATGTTTTTTTTAATCCTTACCTGAGAATATGTTCATTGATTTTTAGAGAGAGAGGAAGGATGAGAGAGAGGAAGAGAGAGACAGAGAGAGAGAAACATTGATGTGAGAAACATCGATTAGTTACCTCCTGTATATGCCCCAACTGGAGATCAAACCTGCAACCTTTTGGTGTAGACACTTCAACTAACTGAGCCACCTGGCCAGGGCATGCACTCTTTTGTTTTTATCAATCAATCTAGACATCCAGTGTAGAGAGGGATGCCAAATAATGGAATAGCTACCACAAAAGTCAGTATTTTTTCCCCACAAGGAGTTTTACAATTCATAGAGATACCATTTTCCCTCATTCTCCTATATTTTAAATAGCTCTGTCTCAGCCTCCTTCCATCTTCTTCTTCCTTTTCTTGTCGGACACTTAGGTCTCTCTAGGTTCCTCTTTAGAGTCACCTCATCTAATCTTGAGTCTTCAAGTTGCCCCATTCCTGGCCTTCTAAACCCCAAAACCCATCCCTGCAAGATGCTCCAGAGAAGACAATAGCCCCATCAGCCTCAGCATCTACCATGTCTGGTCTCCTTTCTTGTTGCCTCCTGCCCTGGTATGGCACAGTCATTGAATAAATATTTATGGGGTACCTACTGTATGTCAAGCACTGTGCTGTAGAAGGCTCACAAAGCCCTCTGCATGCTCCTAAGAAGTGATCTGTATGCCCCCTCCATTCTCTGCCCAAGTTTCAATACTTTTTTATGCTCATCTGAACATTATCTTCTATGTTGGTGTTGAAAGTCATTAAAACAGTCCAAGTTAGTTGTTTTTGAGTCTTCAGGTGTTGTTGAAGCAGTTGAGATAAATTTAATTGTTTAATTTTTACCTAACTATAATTTACCACCCTATTTGAAGTACACTAAAAATAAACATGTAATACGGATCCTCACCATACTCATGGCCACCTCCCTGCTTCCTTCACATGCTTGCTTTACCCCACCTTACTTGACCCATTCTGTATGAAAATTAGCCATTTTTGGCCCAAAGTATCCACCTTCCATATTCCTCCTCCAAACCTATGAATGGTACATGAATGTTGAGTGATCCTGTGGTAGCAACTAGTCATGTATAACTGTAAACTTAAATCTAAATTAATTAAAATTAAACAAAATAAAAATTCCAGACCCTTGATTGTAGTATCCTATCTCAAATGTTCAAAAACTATAGGTGTCTACTTGCTGCCATATTGGACAACACAGATACAAACCATTTCTATCATCACAGAAAGTTCTATTGAACAGTGAAAGACTCACATCCTTCATCTTAGTGATGTCCTTTATTCTCCCTCAGGGTCCCAAAAGAATCTTTATCCTTTTCTCTGCATCTTTTCACTCAGGTATGTAACCCTATTCCAGTTACTCCTATCAGGCAGCTTCTTTCTTTTGAATCTCTTGAATTTTTCCTGTTTTATAACTTTTATTCAGTGACCACAGAAAAATATATTTCTCTGAAATCTTTCTCTGACTCTGACTCTTTGTCTCCTTACTCCACTCTTTCTCACCTACACTCTTCTCCCATTTACATAAAATGGATGTCCCACTCATAAAGATATATAGAAAGGCACTTGATTTGAACTGAATTTATACATAAAACACAGTACCGTCAACCTCTTGAGTCCTTGAAAATGCTCTAAGTCCTTTCACCATCACCACAAAAGTTCTTCAACTGATTCAGTTCTTTTCCTAATTAAAACTACTTTTTTTGTTAAGTAGAAAATTAAGTCTACTGATTCTTCTTTTCCTAGGTTTTAAAAATTACTAGTATTGCAATAGTATGTTTTATATTGTTTTGATGTAGGCATTTACAATTTGGCTGCATTTGGGGGTTCATAGGATTTTGTGGACTAGATGGAAAAGCAAATCCAACACTGTTCATGGGAATATTTGTTCTAAGTTACAGATCTTTCACACACAACTCATATGTTCCTGTAATGACAACTGAATATTACATATTGGATAAAATATGAAATAGAGGAAGGACTTCTGGCCAAGATGGAGGTGTAGGTAGACACACTATGCCTCCTTGCACAACCAAAAGAAGAAGAACAACAAATTTAAAAACATAAAAACAACCAGAACTGACCGAAAATTGTACTGTATGGAAGTCCAACACCCAGGAGTTAAAGAAGCAACATTCATCCAGATCAGTACGAGGGGCAGAGATAGGCAGCCGGGCAGAGAGGACTCATGGCAAGGTGGCAGCCAGAGGACCAGGGCAGTCAAGGTGGCAGCTGGCAGACTAGGCGAGGCAGTGGCTGGAAGACCAAGTGGTCCCACACTCATGCACAAATAAACTGGGAGGAACAACTGGGCAGTGAGACAGACCACACAGCCTAAGGTTCCAGTGTGGAGAAATAAAGCCTCAAAACCTCTGACTGAAAACTCCTGTGGAAGGTGAGGCAGCAGAGGGAGAAACTCCCAGCTTCACAGGAGAGGTTGTGGGAGAGACCCACAGGGTCCTAGAACATACACAAACCCTCCTACCCAAGAACCAGCACCAGAAGGGCCTAATTTGATTGTGGGTAGCCAAGGAAGTGATTGAAAGCTGGCAGAGAGGGGAGCAAGCACCAGTGTTCTCTCTTGGACCCCTCCCCCCAAGTACAGCACCACAACACAGCAACGTGGGTTGCCCTGTGCTGGTGGACAACTAAGGTTCCCTTACTATGTGAAAGGTGTGCTGAGACAAAAACATGGCCCAAATGAAAGAACAGATCAAAGCTCCAGAAAAAATACAACAAAGTGACAAAAAGATAGCCAACCTATCAGATACACAGTTCAAAACACTGGTTATTAGGATGCCCCAGGAACTCACTGGGTACTTCAACAGCATAAGAAAGACCCAGGCAGCAATGAAGGTTGAATTATGTGAAATAAAGAAAAATCTACAGGGAACCAACTGCGATGGGAAGGAAACCAGGACTCAAATCAATGGTTTGGAACAGAAGGAAGAAAGAAACATTAAATAAGAACAGAGTGAAGAAACAAGAATTCAAAAACATGAGGAGAGGCTTAGGAACCTCCAGGACATCTTTAAATGTTCCAACATTCTAATCACAGGGGTGCCAGGAGGAGAAGAACAAGAGCAAGAAATTGAAAACTTACTTGAAAAAATAATGAAGAGGAAGTTCTCCAACCTAGCAAAGGAAATATATTTTCAGGAAGTCCAGGAAAATCAAAGAGTCCAAAAGAGGTTGGACCCAAGGAAGCACACACCAAGGCACATAATAATCACATTACCCAAGATTAAAGACAAGGAGAGAATCTTAAAAGTAGCAAGAGAAAAGGAGATAGTTACCTACAAAAGAGTTCCCATTAGACTATCAGCTGATTTCTCAAAAGATATCTTACAGGCAAGAAGGGGCTGGAAAGAAGTATTCAAAGTCATGAAAGGCAAGGACCTACATCCAAGATTACTCTATTCAGCAAAGCTTTCATTTAGAATGGAAGGGCAGAAAAGTGCTTCCCAGATAAGGTCAAGTTAAAGGAGTTCATCATCACCAAGCCCTTATATGAAATATTAAGGGACTTATCTAAGAAAAAGAAGATAAAAAATATGAACAGTAAAAGGACAACACACTCACAGCTATTAACAACCAAACCTTAAAAAAACAAAAAGAAACTAAGCAAACAACTAGAACAGGAACAGAATCACAGAAATGAAGATCACATGGAGGGTTATCAGTGGGAGAGTTAGAACGGGACAGAGGGAGAAAAGGTACAGAGAATAAGTAGCATAAATGGTAGGTAGAAAATAGATAGGGGGAGGATAAAAATAGTATAGGAAATGTAGAAGCCAAAGATCTTATGTGTATGACTCATGGACATGAACTAAAGTGCGGGGAATGTGGGTGGGAAGGGGCATGCAGGGTGGAGGGAAATAAAGTCAGGAAAATGGGATAACTGTAATAGCATAATAAATCAAATATATTTTAAAAAAGTAAAAAATATGAAATAGAAATATCTGGCCACATTGATATTGTTCTGATTAAATCTGTAAGACTACTTATATTTATAGTTCAGAGTAGGGAGAGCAAAATTCCCTGGTTAGCAGATCAAGAGTCATAATCTGATAAATTTCATTCATCACACATTCTGAAAAACACTTTGTTTAAAATTTTTAAATTCAATGTATTTAAACTAAAAAGCAAATTCACTCCTTTCTTCATCCCCACTCCCTGCCTCTTGCAACCACCAATCTGTTCTCTGTATTAATGAGCTTGTTTTATTCTTCAAGATTCAACACATAGGAGAGGTCATACCATATTTGTCTTTCTTTGTCTGAGTTACTTCACTTAGCATAATGCTCTCATAGTCCATCCATGTTGTTGCAAATGGCAAAATTTCATTCTTTTATTGCTGAATAATATTCCATTGTGTGTGTATGTATCACAATTTCTTTATCATTCATCCATTGATGGACACTTAGATTACTTCTATAGCTTGGTTATTATATCTATATAATGCTACAGTAAACACTGGGATGTGTCAACATTTTCAAGTTGGTATTTTTATTTTCTTCAGACAAATACCCAGATGTGGAATTGCTGGATCATATGTTAGTTTTATTTTAATTTTTAGAGGAGCCTCCACACTGTTTTTCATGGTGACTGTACAAATTTACATTCCTACAAACAGTCCACAAAGGTTCCCTTTTCTTCACATCCTCACCAAAACTTTATATTTC